TGGACGGGAAAGGGAAGTGTGAGTCGAAAGCTTTTTCCTAGATTCCAGCTAATTTATAATATGAAATAACATGGTAGGGAAGCTGGAAGGGCACTTAAATGGGCAGTGGAGATGTGAGGATTAACATAAGTAATAAATACAGCCTTCCAGCGATGTCTCAGAGCCTATGGTGTATCTTGCCAGTGATCAGCCCTCATCAATCCCATGTTGTTCATGAATATAGTCTTACATCTCAACATCTTTAGACGTTGAGATGTAAGTCTTGTCCTATTTACACACTCAGACCTTGACAAAGCACTCAGGAGAGCGCGAAAGACTTAATGGTGTAATTTATTAACATAAATCACACAAATACACAAGTGTGAGTTCTGATCCTATGCAACCCCAGTCTGCTCTCTTGGACATTGCATTCGCGCAGAGATTGAAATCCATTAACCCCTCCCAGATCACAACAGTTCCATTGCAACAAACAGCAATTAGAGAACTTGCAACATATAATGTTTTCAAGCCACACCGAGCGTCTCAAAACACCTTAAAACGCGCCTTTCCGAGCGTGAGTGAACGCCCGCTGCGTCAGCTAGGCGTCGAACCCTCCACGGATGGTTTCTCCAATTATTTACCACCGCGTGAGGCTTGATGTGAGGCCCAGGCAGCGGCGTCCAGGGACGTAGCCGCGGTGTCTCGTGTTCCTGGCTCTCTGGCCACATCCATATAAGATGTGTCGTTGATAAATATGAAAGCCTACACGAGACAAAACCTGGTTAAATCCTTTGCCGTATTTGCAAGGTTTCTTAACTGGTTCCCGAGTCATGTGTCTAGCAGTGATGACACTTTCCTCTCCTAGACGAACTTTCTAAGCTGTTGTAGTTTGTTGCACTAATCACTGCGATACACAATAAACAATATATATATATATATATATATATATATATATATATATATATATATATATATATATATATATATATATATATATATATATATATATATATATATATATATAAAATATTCGTACTCAAAAGACAATAAACGTGATTGATAAGTTTTAAATCTTTTGTTTGCACGGTATTAAGTGAAATAACTGTTGTAGGGTGCTAGGCTCGTTCAAGCTATGTCCAAGCATATTTGAGGTGGGTGAGCAATCCGTCTTCACACCAAGTCCATTCCATCCAGCGGTCGACCCCAAAGACGCATTCATCAATTTTTAACATGCTATTCATTCAAATTAGGAATTTTCCCATATGTAAGTTAATATTGTTATATTTTAACATATTATGCATATTTAGACAATGGTTAGGTTAGGTTCTGTTGGCGACCTTCTGTTTTAGTTCTATTGGTGCTTCGCTGCCGACCTCTGTTCGAACCACAACGCTGTAAATGCTTCACCCACGTACTACAAATACAAATAATCGCCAACAGAGCCTAAGCACCTCACCTAAGTCTATACATAGAACGTTACTATACAATAATATTAAATTATATATGAGATCAATTCTATTTTCAATTCACAGTTCGTTAAAAATTTATGAATGCTTCTAGGTGGACGGCCGCAGCTTTATCGAGCCTGACCTAAGGATAGGTTGTTTTCATTACTGAAACGGTGGTTTGGCAGTTGGATTAACGAACATTTGACCATTGTCTATGAGGACGGGCTGCACCCATAGCGTGAAACAGTTTCAGGAAACTCTAGTCATAAATCACAAACGATTCACTGAGGCAATGATAACGATCTGAGAAAGGGGTGTGGGCGTTAGTTATCGCTTGTTACAATGACAAGCGGAAACATTAGATCACCTCACATGTGGCCAAGACAATACTCGCAGAGGTGAAAGATAGGGAAAGCGCAGCCTCAACCCCAGTGATTTGGCCAAGAGGATGACTCGCGCGGAATAAGGCGCCTAGCGGTAAGCGTTACCTCTCGTCACTTAGCTAATAGAAGGTAATTCCTCGCACGGAGAGTTCCTCTGATTTGTAACCAAACAACGGCATTGTGTTGTAACACTTTCTTTGGTTTCTCAATATCTCGATTGTTTAACTATTAACAGTAGCCTGTAACAGTAACAGTATTAATTAACAGTAGACTATTTATATTATATATATATATATATATATATATATATATATATAAAGTATTCAGAGGAGACCTTGTGCTTTCTCACTGAACACTAATATTATCTTCTCCTACCACCCCCATTCTTTTGTATGTACACATGTATATTTACTTTATTTGAACTTTGTTACAAAAAAGGACCTGCCCGATATATATATATATATATATATATATATATATATATATATATATATATATATATATATATATATATATATATAAAAGAGTTGTTACATTCTTGTACAGCCACTAGTACGCATAGCGTTTCGGGCAGGTCCCTGGAATACGATCCCCGCCGCGAAGAATCGTTGTTACAACCAAGTACCCATTTTACTGTTGAGTTAAACAGAGGCTACAGTTAAGGACTTGCGCCCACTAAATCCTCCCCAGCTTATTAACATAAGCTGTATTAACACCCACCTACTGTAAATAGAAAATTATTATAAACATCCCCCCCCCCCAAGCTTTCCAAACCTAATTATGCACAAAATAATATGCATGACTGTTAAGGTATATTCCAGATAATATAATTTTCCAACCCATCCTCGGATCAAGTCCATTCCATCCAGCGGGCGACCTCAAAGTCTCCTTCATAAATTTTAACATGCTATTCATTCAAAACTGGAATTTTTGCAAAAATATATATTGGTATTGGTATATATTAGCATACTGTATATTTAGGTATTGGTTAGGTTAGGTGTTTAGGTTCTGTTGGCGATTATTTGTATTTGTCGTACGTGGGTGTAGCATTTATAGCGTTATGGTTCGAACAAAATTATTCAGTGAAGCACTTGTTCCGGAAGTGTTCGAACGACATCAGTTGTGAGTCGTGTGTAAACCGTTTTTCATTCATAAACAGGGGGGTTTGGTGGGTGCATGGAATGGACTTTGGGGTCTTTGTTTGGTGGACGGGCTGAACGGTGTCAGCAAAAGAGAACCAGAATCAGTGGCACATGAAGCCAAGCTGAGCGAATGATGTTGGTTTATGTAGTAATTAAACGTTGATGAAACCATTCCATCTTACTAAAATGAAAGTACTTATAGTGACTATGTGATCGATCGTACGAATATGGATGTGATGGACCAATAGAAAGTAGAGTTTTGTAGTACTGAATTTGGACAAACCGGAAAAGTTTTTATATTTCTGCTAATGAAACATAACCATCATAGGCCTAAAACACGCTATCTTAGGCCTAATATAGTACATATATTAGCTATACTAGGACTATAAATATTTAAGCTTGAGTTTACCATTATTTTTCCCGGACTTTATAAAGTGAATATTGTCAATTGTTGTTGTTTAAGATTCACTACCTGGGACAATAAGTTCCAAGCAGCACGGGCTATGGTGAGCCCGTAGTGGACTTATAATATTGCCAAATTCTACTTTCTAAATGTCCATCACATCGATATTTGTACGAACACGCACGTAGTTACGAAAAGGACAAGAGCACGGATTGTATAAAACGTCACTCGTGAAAGTTGGAGTAACTGAGTAAAGGTAATTAGAGAATCACCAGGCCTAGTACTGTGTAAACTAGCACGACTCACGTGGGTTATACAGCACGATACAGCTCAGGTTTACTGGGTATACCGTCTATACGGGATACCTGGTGTGTGAAGGACTTTTGTCTCCTACAAAAGTAGGCTTTTGTCCCCTTCACAAAAGCAAGACTTTTGTCCCCACCGAGGCAAAAGTCCAGAAATGAACCGTCATTCACACAAATATATCAGTATTTGACAAATATGAACTGGACAGTTGTTTGTCTCGATGACAGGCTGTTAATCCACTCCTGGTGAGCTGCGGAACAAACTCAACACATTGGCCAGGGAGAAAGACTCTCTCTGTTTGCTTAGGGGAGAGAAAGTTTCGACGTTTGTGGATGCTGAAATCTTACAGCGTAAAAAACAAAAACAAAAAGTAACATGTTTTACTAATTTGTTGTATATTAATATTTAGGTATTGGTTTTATTTTACATAAATAAATTCTATACGTCAGGATTTGGTATACGAAGCTTATATATAGGACTATGTAATGGATTGTCGTTGTGGCCTAGAGAAAATAAACAGAAAATTTTAGGCTTTCAACTTTCTCTTTTTCCATGTCAGTCTTGCTATGGAAACGTTGCCGAGGATATGTTCAGACGAAGGGAACGATAGTGGGGCCCTGTATTAACGTAATGTTAAGGCGTAGAAAGCGTTTGTGGCGCCCTAAATCAACGTTATTTTTAGACATATGGAAGGTTTCTGGAATACTGGTAATATAATCCACTAAGACCACATGCCGGAGAATGGGAACATCAGCTCCAACCCTCCGACGTATTTCTAGAAGGTGGAACAATTTCACACACAGACCTGTAGGAGCCGTGATGAGGATTCGAACCTACGCGGACGGTATTCCTATGCGGTGAGGATGCCATGATTTTTAGCTGAATTAGTTTATTAAGAGCTCCTCCCACTTCATACTAAAGTTTCATCATATTTTTTGGGGTGCCTTGATAATCCTCGAGAGCAACTTGCATGTGTGGCAAGGAAGTTGCAATTTTAATATGCACTCGACATCCATCCAGTGGGCGAGGGAGGGGGGAGGGAGTGTTGACTTTGCAACGGAAGGAAAACTGTATACAGTTTCCTGAACATTTCTGGCCGTGCCTAGAGAGAGAGAGAGAGAGGCTTTTAATACATTGAATAAAAATGTAAAGCTGGGTTTATACAAGTTCAACTTTATAATGTCTGACATTGAAAGTTTTATTCACTGGATTTGGATTCGGCTTCACACCGAGTCTACAAATTTTAAAGCAAAATTTATAGCATTTTTTATGCATTATCCATTTTTTTAGGAGGGAACTGGTCAATTATTTTATACGAAAATATAATTTATTTTGTTATATTCTGTCAGGTTATGTTGGTTTTGTTAGTTAACAGTCGTTATAAAAGCAACAGCTCTGGGAATAAAGATTTTTACGTAACATGTGAATGAAATATTTAAAACAAATCATTTGCAATATTAAAAGAAAATAATATTTGGGAAAATCTTTAAATAATTTTAGCAAATTTTTAATTAATAAAAAATAATAAATTTTGAATTAAACTTTCTATATTTAGGCTTCTGACAGTTACCAATATTTTGAATATTTTCAGTATTTAATGATATTAACCATTTATACGAGTTCCTTAAGCTTAATATTCCCGAATATTAGTGTTCAAAACCCTTATCTGATCTTCCTCCTGAGGCTTCCCAACGTCAAGAAACTGCCGCACTAACGTGCCTTTATCCTAACCTACCACAGGACCCAAAACAGAAAACAGTGTGTCAATTTCGCGAGCCTCTATCATTTTCTAGTACGACGATTTCTGGCCCTTCAGGTGTAGTATACGTCAAAATGCGACGTTCTATTAGGAGTCCATATTCACCTGAAAATAATGGCGATCAAGCTGTAAGGAAGACCGGTCAGCGATGTGTATATTACACCTGGCCGCTTTATCTAGGTGAAAGCCTCGTCTCATACTGTTTACCTTTCTCCCGCTATTGGTTGGTTCTTAAGATTTCTGCGCCTGTCTTGAGGTGTCTAGATGTCTGAATGTCTTAAGGTGTCTGAATGTCTTAAAGTGTTTGTAGACCTCTCAAGTCTCATTGTTCGTGAAACTCATCCATTAGCGAGCTACCACACTTTCACGAATGCTGGCGTTCGTGAGAATGTGGATAGCACGCTATTGCACGTGGATTATTAATCCACGCTAATGTGTGGATTAATATCTCCAAATTTATGAGATATTAATCCAAATAACTTTAAAAGATCCCGAGTAACGCACACAAGTCGATCCAAGACGCGTTCCTAATGTCAAGATAGTGTATTAAAAATTGGTTTGTTCTCATATATAAGTTAATATTATTATATATTAAAGTCCCATATATAGATAGGCGTAGGTTAGATGTTTAGGTTCTGTTGGTGTATTTGTAGTACGTGGGTGAAACATTTACAGCGTTGTGGTTCGAACAAAATTCGTCAGTGAAGCACTTGTTCCGGAAGTGTTCGAACGTCATCAGTTGTGAGTCGTGTGTAAACCGTTTTTCATTTATAAACAGCGGGTTTGGCGGTTGAGCTAATGATCCTTTGGCCCTTTGTCGAGGACGGGTTGCAGAGGTCTTAACTGGTCCAGTGGTAGAGGCGGTAACTGGACCCATGATAGACGAGTGATCGGTACTTTCCCCCCTTAACCTATACCATTGATAGGCTAAGTAATAATTGTAAATAAGAAGCAATAAGATGCTTATCTTAACATACTTAGAAGGTTAGGTGAGGTCAGTGTTTTCTATGAAGCTTTTCAAGGTAAACTAAAATATTCACAATCAATTAGTATGTCACATATGCACTTATTAAATAAGCCAATATTAACTGAAGCAAGTGCGAGAACGGGTTGCTACTGTAGATGGGTGACTGGTACAGGACCCCCCCCCCCCCCCAACCCCCCCAGGTAGGCCACACCCCACTATGCAGCGAAAGTGTTGCAAAAGAAAGTGAAATCATTACTACCAGTGTAGCCTCCGGCGCCAGAGCACTGGTGTGTCAGTGAGGGAGCCACACACACAGTGCCTCTCTGCTCTCCTCTCCCGCAGCTTCTCTACTCTCAAGGAACTGCTCCGGGAAACCTCGCCAAAAGATCAAAGTGACGTGTTTCAGCGCTGTGAAAAGTTGGTAGTCGCTGCTGGGGTTTTCTTGCGCGTGTAGCGAGGCTCCCAGAGCGGTTGTTGGTCCTACATAAACAGTGGAATATTTGTTACTAGTGGGATAGAGATGCTCGAGGCTTGGCAAGAGTGAAGCTCCTCATAGCACTGTTGAGGGTCAGGTAGTGAAGAGGACAGTGGAACGACCAGGTGTGGTGTCGAGTCGTACGGTAGCACACAGAGCAGGAACGACCAGGTGTGGTGTCGAGTCGTACGGTAGCACACAGAGCAGGAACGACCAGGTGTGGTGTTGAGTCGTACAGTCCAGCAAGGGAACCCGCACCTCGCACTCCGTCATGACTCTGTTGTGGTAAGTTACATCGATTTTCTGATAAGTATTCCTCACTTTAGCCCGTGCTACATGGACATTTCGTTTTGAGTTGCTAAATCTAAATCAACAACATCTTGGTTTGGTGTTGGTCCAATCAACCTGAAGATGGTTGTTAACCCTTAAACGGCTCGAATGATTAAGTCCCACGTGATGGCGTGTGACAAAACATAATAGCAGGTGGCGATTGTAGCCGTTTAGGGGCTAATGTCACTATAATTGTTGACTGACCAACTAGCCAAGTAGACTTTAGTCTTGAACATAGCTTAGGACTAGTGTAAACTTACCGAAACTATGCAGAAAGTGTCATCCAATATAGTCAGGTGATTTTTTTTTATTATTTTCTACCACAGACGTGGCCACACATTTACAATGCTAACCAGCATATATACATTTTCTAATGTCCTCCATGGACAGGGTGAGAGATTTGTCAAACATACAGTTCAGGGATTTATTGAGCAATCAACCACAGAAGGTGATTGTAGGGCTTTTAAAATGCTAGGCTAAGCTACATGCGTAAAATACATAGATACACAGATTTATGTATGCTACATAAAGTGTTTGATGTGTCTTTTACATAGTGTCATTAATGTGCATTTACAAATATGAAATGTAATTCAGGTGACTACCAGACGTTACTGATGCTTAGGCTTAGGCTTGAGTATTTACACATCCCACGGATATAGATTTGACCAAATGAAAGCCTAAACATCAAATTTATTCGAGCACCCTTGCATCACTATGCGATACAATATGAAAAGAGTCAAGATTTTAGTGAGATACGTCTATCACCAACGTTCAAGCAATATCTATTTAATTCTAAGTTACATAAAATCTTACCCAAAAATCCTAAGTTTGCCTAGTGTAGGTGGTGGATGAAGATGCGTGTGAAAGTTCCACTACCGCCCAAAGCATGGGCTATTCTAAAATAATTTAAAATACAAGAACAACTGAGGGTAAATAGGAGATATTATCATGGGAGGATGAATATTACGCTTCTCTCACTCACTGCAAAATAATATCGCTGCGAGCGTTGGCACCCCTGACGGCTGCGCGTGACCGTCTCGCTTAGCGCCGTCTGCGCAACCGCCATCTCTCGGCTAATAAATTTCATAGAACATTAGGGCGGTGCTGATTTGATTTTATGTAATTTAGTGTGTGATTTACGTTTTTATTTTTATATGGGTAAATAAGTTCGACAGAGAGAGTGAGAGAGAGATAAAGCCTTTCTGACGTTTCATATTTCATAATCTATAGATCTATCATACAAAATTCAAGATATTAAGTAGAATAGATAATGTTGAGAAATATTGTTAAAATGAGAAAGGTCAAGAGGACACAGATGGAAGCTGGACACGCAAATGAGCTGAAGGAACAAGGAAATATTCATACCCTGTACGGGGTGGGGTGGGGGGGGGGGGGTCGACAAGTGAAATACACTTAAAGAAGAAGTTGTGGAAGCCACCTCCATCCACACCATTACGGCTAGATATGACAAGGAACTCAAACGGGTCATATGGAACTAGATCTCACCCCCCCCCAACCTGTCACTCTAGTAAGTAGTGTTAGGGAAGTGAACGCGTTATATATAAGTACACACTCATGGGATACTTGGCTGAGACTGTACAATATGTAATTTTAAATACATATCTCTCTCTCTCACTGCCAATATCCACGGAGTGGAGCCCGGGGTTCACTATGAGGGTTCAACAAGTCTCCAGCCTCACCTGGGTTCACCTGTGTGGCCAGGTGGGTCCTCTCATCTCGGCTCAAAGCCAACTTTCTCACAGGTTTCACCGTGGCTTCAGGGCCTGCCGGTCCCTGGCCACGGAAGACCCGGCCAGGCCTTGTGTACCTCAGTCATTAGGGAGGAGCTGTAACAACTGAAGATGATGTGACAGTTAAGTGTGAAATTGAATTTACTGTTAGTGACAGACTTCGCTTTGAGAGAGAGAGGCGAGTGGAGGGAGGCGTAAGGCAGAATATCGTAGTTATACCTTAGAATGTGAGACTGAGCGTGAGAACGGGCTATAATCTCTTATCATTTTAACATTGCGTGGAAGAGCGCACATTAATTCTTGGGCTGCGACACATGGGGAGGAGAGCCGGGCTGGTGGGGATCACTAGGGCACCTGTGTGTCCAGATTTCGCCCAGCGCCTTCAGCTGGTCGATTGTGATCACAGCGCCGCATTCACGGGCAGGTAATACTCTATTAGTCAATGTTTTCCCCGACGCCTGTTCTCTCATTCCTTGCCTAGCCTAGCCTAGCCAAACATATCCTAGCCTTGCCTAGCCTAACGTAGCCTAGGCGCAAATATGTCGCCTAACCTACAAAAGCTGTTAGTGCAGACAGTTCATGATCTGGGTTCGATTCCCACGAAGAGTGAGACGTTTGCGCACATTTAATTCATTTCGTTTAATTAAAAAAATATACATAGGAAGCTTGTGAACTTTAAGCTTGTATCGAAGTATACAGCCTGTGTGTATGTATACTGTAGGCGTGTATGTACCCCCCATGTATCACCCTCCCTCCCTCCCTCCCTACCCCCCCATGACACACGCTGAATCTCAAGCGTGAAGTGAAACATTTTAACGCTGGTTAAGGGAGTGACAGATCGCTTATATACGCCCTTCACTATACACTGCCGCCAACCACGCTACGACACCCCGCCTGTAACGCACTTTCTAATTACTGGCAATAATATACTGTGTGTACCGTGTGTGTGATTACCGTTAACTGTGATATACTGTGAGGGGTGTGGAGTCAAGAGTTGTTTATTCTTGACATGCGACTGTGAGTGTGTCTGACTTGACGTTCCGTGAGTTTTTGGGAATACTGGTTGTGTTCCTTGGTGGTGTTCCCTGCTTGTGTTCCGTATTATCGTTAACTGGCAGAGAATATTTCATCAATGATCACAAATCAATGGGGTGGATCTGGTTACTGACTGAATGTTTCCTGGAGGCTTTTTATTTAACGTTCTGTGTTGGCTAGGCTACTTTTATGTAGCCTAATGCTCTTTTGTGTAGCCTAATCCTCCTCTTTTGTGTGGCCGCCTCTTTTGTGTAGCCTAATCCTCTTTTGTGTAGCCTCCTATTCTGTATAGCCTCCTCCTCTTTTGTGTAGCCTCCCCTTCTTCTGTGTAGTCTCCTCCACTTTTGTGTTGCTGCCTCCTTTTCTGTATAGCCTACTCTTCTTTTATGTAACCTCTTCCTCTTTTGTGTAGCCTCCTCCTCTTTTGTGTAGCCTCCTATTCTGTTTAGCCTCCTCCTCTTCTGTATAGCCTCCTCTTTTGTGTATCCTCCTTCTCTTTTGTGTAGCCTTCTCCTCTTTTGTGTAGCCTCCTCCACTTTTGTGTATGTCGATCATTGATCATTCACTGACATTCTCACCTCATGGAGCAGTTAAGGTTGATCCTTGGCCTTGGCTGCTATATTGTTCTCTTGTTGCTTCACTCTTGAGCTCAGTTTCATTATATTAATTCCTCTCTCGTGTGTATGTTGTGGTTCTCCTCTGTTCTGTGTTCCCTCTGTTTCTTGCATGCTCTTTTACCCCTCTCTTTTGTCTCCTAAGCAGTGCTCCTTTATTTCTCCCTTTTGCCTCTTAAGCAGTGCTCCTTTATTTCTCCCTTTTGCCTCTTAAGCAGTGCTCCTTTATTTCTCCCTTTTGCCTCTTAAGCAGTGCTCCTTTACATGTTCTCAAAAGCATAAGAGGTCCATATACTTGGACTTTGGTATAAGACCTACCCCAGGCCTTAATCTGTCCTCATATAGTTATAGTGGTTTACTGAGTAGTGAAAATCACCTCTCCACCTGCCCGTGGGTGAGACAGGAAAGCAGAGTAAGCCAGACAACAGGTGTAGAGAAACCTTGTTGAAACATGTGGTCTTCAAGGTGAGGGTTGGCCAGAGAGTTGACACGCCGCCCACTGCAGACATAGACACCACGGCCGGTAAGCGCTGGGCGGCACGTATCTGGGCCGCCTAGTGTCAATATGGCTGGGGTCTGTGTCACGTATCACGGCCGCTGGGGGTGTCAATAGATCTGGCGCTGTGTCGTGTGTGTCTTGAGTCAAAGTTGATTGTGGTGAAGATGGTGGTGGTAGTATTAACTTACCTACTAGTGTCTACGAAGGCCGTGAGGTTTAGCTCTTGGACCCGCCACCTCCCAGCCTTGTTGTACCTGATGCACTACAATGTTAATTATTCTGACGATCGAATTATTTGTCAAATCTGGATGGAGATTTGTCAAATCTTCCACAACTTCGTTCATTTCGGGGCTCAACCTCCCTGCGGCCCGGTCCCCACCAGGGCCTTCCATAGAGGATCTCACACACGTCTGCACCACATAATTATCTCAACAGTTGTAATCACAAAATTATATTAAGCAGAACACATTTAAGGAGCCGCGAAACTGCTTTCAGATTTATTACCGTTCGTGTCAACTGTAAATTGTGTTCCTCTCACTAGACTCGTGAATTCCTTCATGCGAGAGTTTCGCTTTTGTGAGCAGCTGGGGGTATTGTGAGCAGCTGGGGGGGTATTGTGAGCAGCTGGGGGGGTATTGTGAGCAGCTGGAGGGAATTGGGGGCTCAGGAACTGGAGCTCAATCCTTATTCTACGTGATTCTGAATCTTTATTACATCGAATCTAAATCCATCCCTTGGAATAAGATCTTGGAGAGAACGAGGCTTCCAATTGGCTCCAGACATCAAGGGGGGATTTTGCTTTCCTATATTATCATTCCGGCTGTCACTTGGGAGAAAGCTCAGGCCTGGGTGAAGACAGTGTTATCCCGGAGCTGAGATAAGGGTGGTCGGGAAGATGGTGAAGAGAGGCAGAGTGTGTCTTGGTGGTAAAGGGTGTTTGGGTCCTGGTGGTCTTCGCCAGGCACTCGCAACTTTGGTGAAAGTGTTGATCACACACGCGGCTCACTCCTCTCTCGATGTAAACACACAGGGCCTGAAGGCTGAGTGGAAAGCGCTCTGGGGTCGTAGTCCTAAGTGCCGGGGTTTGATCCCCGGCGGAGGCGGAAACAAATGGGTATTTTGTCACCCTGATGTTCTGTTCACCTAGTAGTAAATAGGTACATGGGGGTTAGATAGCTACTACGGGCTGCTTCCTGGGGATGTGTAACAAAATTGAGATCTGGTCGAGGACCGGGCCGCGGGGGACGCTAAACCCCGAAATCATCTGAGGCCCTCACGATAGGTACTACTGCATGATATATTGCGCAATACCGGGGGAACCCAGATGGCAACAGTACACCTGATGTGTTGTCGTCACTCTTCAACTTTCTCACTAAGTTTCCCCTCCCGCAGGAGCTGGTTTCTG